GAAGATCTTGTTTTCTCTTGTTTTGTTTTTATGGGTACCCCTTTTTCTCGTGTTTTATGTACGTTGTTGTATTTATGAACTTAAGTCGAGTTCCGACTCTGATAATTTATAAAAAGATGTTTTATTAAAATCCCCGTGGAACGCTGATATAGAGTTTAGTCCGAACTTAACACAACTCTTAACCAAAGTACGGGTCAGCTCTGGCCTTAGGCTGAGGTTGAGAGGGACGGTATTGTGGTTGGGCTGGTTGAGACTTTGATTTGTTTAAAGTTTAGATTGGACCGACTGCGATACTCGTCTAACTGTAACGCTTCCGGGTCGTCCCGGGTTAGTCCGGCCTAGGACGGTTCGGGGGTGTTACAATTACCCTCATGTCCTGCGAAGCCTTCGTCTCGGTTTCCTGCTTCTCAATAACCTCTTCTAGTTCTTGATTCCTACAGCTTAGCTCCAGGGCCTCCGACGAAGAACTTTCCACCGTTCCTTCCATCGCCTTAATTCTGGCCTGAAGATCACATAACTCCATCCCCTGAGCGATTCTCCTGCTCTTCTCCTCAGACAATTGTCGGGCTAACTCCTTCGCTTCCTCCTTGAGTGAGGACACATCCCCCTCCTGCGACCGAGCCTCCAAATGATGCAATAAAGAAGCAACCTGGGCGAAGAGTCAACCCATCAGATTCACGATAGCAAGGTCGAAATAAGGGTATGAATCCTAGTCTTACCTGCAGAAGTTTCTCCTGAAGCATTAAGATCACCTCCGCAGGATCCCCATCCAGGAGAAGGGCACTCTCCTGCGGGAACAACCTAGCTTTTAAGTCCTTGAGAACTTCATACGAACCTCCAACCACATGTTCGGTATCAAAAGATCGTGGATACAACCGAGTGCCCATCCTACCCCTCGGCCTTCTCACCTGAGAAGAAGAAACAGCCTCACTCTTAATCACCATCTTGCGGCTACTCCCCGTTATCATAACATCGTTCCCCGAGGCAACTGAGGTAGCGACACCCTTCCTTGCTGAAATAGCCTCATTTTCCCTATTGAAGGCCTCCATGGGTCCTCTTCTACAATGCCATCTGCGTAAAAAATCACCGGTTAAATCGAGAAAGTGAAGAGATATGGTCAACATCAAAGAAAGGAACTCACCCCGAAGCCTGATACGACCTAACACGGCGGGGTATAAGAGATGAACCACCTGACGTCACGCCAAGGGAAGGGTGCGGGCCCTGAAAACATTGGCTTCTCCGCTCGCGCTGGCCGGATAAGTCCCACCTGCAACATTTCACCAGGAGGAAAATCAGTCAAGCAAATCCTACCATCACTCAAATATACTAACCCTTCTTACCAACGAGGTTCCACAGTAGTGGAACCGGGAAGGGTCATGAACACGTATCTTTTTGGCCATCTCTTCGCGAAAGACAAACCATTACGATCACTTTTTGGAAGTTCTTCAACAATGGGAAGGCCACTTCGAGGCCGAAGGTGAAAGCGACCCTCCCCTCCATTGAGCAGAGCAAAATGAGAAGCAAATAGCACCTCATCGACATCCAAAGGAAGACATTTCACGTCGCTCAAATTTTGAATGGCAGTAAGGATGCGCCAAGCCGCAGGATTCAGCTGGGAAAGAGAGATCCGAAAGAAGTCGCAGAGATCCACAATCAACGACGGAATAGTCCCTCGGAAACCAGATTCAAAGAAAGCTTCATAAACCGCAACCTCCCCTGGTCTGCAAATAGAAAGACGCTCGGATGAACCAGGGACACGAAGGAAGACGGAGGAAGGAAGCAGATAATCCTTTCGCCACTGGATTAAATCATCCTCCTTCATAGACAACAATGGACCCACTTCCAAGGAAGACGGCGAGACGTAGGTTAAAGGAGCTGGAGCCAGGACTCCGAGCTCAGATACATCGTAAGGATCTGAAAAACTATCCGATCCAGATATCATAGAGTCCATTCTCCTCTTCGAGCTGGACTTTTCAGCCGTCACAGGAACCGAGGAACCAAAGCGTTTTGACATAATCACCCACGAACAAAAAGAAATCCCCGACTTAAGAAAATTAAAGTGAGGTTAAGTCTTGCGAAGATCTTTCTCAAGAAATGAAGAGGCATTTAGAGACGTCACAAGCGATATCTTCTCCAAGAATCAGTCACCCTCGAATCCCGAGTAAAATCCAGCTTTTGAAAATTTAAATCAAAGAATCCCGCCTCCCGAATCCAACGCTGACGGCTAGGGTTTTCTCGATCTTCCAAGGCACATAAAATCGCGGCCCCTTCATTAATTCCAAGAGGCTCAGGCCTTGAAGATGCTTACGGAACACCATTTTACCAAGGGAAACTCGACTTACTCCAGGCTCCAAACACGGTTCCGACCTACACGAGGACCTGGAGAATAGAGCGCCTCAGAGCAATGTCTTACTAAGGGTAATATGCTGAGATAAAGCGACTCCGGTCCGCCTATACACGTTTCACCAGTGAAATCAAGGGATAACGGGCAAACTGTTGGGAAAAATATCCAGGCACCAGATTCCTCCATCCCCCGGGCTGGGCACCGGCCTCTAGACCCCGGCTCCAAAGGGACCCATGGCCCGGACCCTGCCTTCAGGTTCCCCGGGGCCGACCCCTGTTCCAATACCGACCCTTCAGTAAAGTGGAAGTTCTCCATACATGGAAACTCTCCCATATTCACCAATATGGAAGAGTTTAACCGAAAACAAGCCGACATCTACATCTATATAAGGGGAACCCAAACCTTAGAATAAGGGATCGACACTTAAAGATTGAGAGATTAGATCTAGGCGGCAAGAATTAGGGTTCATACACCATCATTGTAGCCCCCATTCGAAATACCTAATAATACGTCTCCTTCTCTATTGTTCTTGTCTTGTTCTCTTGATTTCTCCATACCTCTTACGAACACCTTTGCTTCTCTCCATCTTAACTCAAACCTTCTTGTTTTCCGTAGTACTAAAACGACCCTACACAAAAATACCATAACAAGTCTAGCAACCTAAATCTAACCTAGATGAGTCGCAGCTCGATAGTAAAAACGGAAAAAAATACCTAAATTTCTCTAAGTGCTAAGTTGCTCTGAAGAAGCTCTCTCTTTGCTCCTCGCCCCAACCTCCCCTTATATACTCTCCCTAGGGCGGTTTACCCCTCCTCTTGGGCCGAATCGGGCTTTTCCATTTTCGTCACCCTTCATGATTATCCTCGCAAACTTTACATTTATCTTCGGAAACTTCATGTTTTTCTTTTCGAAACTTGACATTTAACTTTTCCTGCAAATAAAATAGACCGTCATACCAGCCTTGGGGATCAATCCTTTTAAAATCGTAAGTGGGCCGTTGGCCCATGATCCAGGCCTCATTGAGCCGTTCTGGGACTCTAGACGTTTTTACGATTTTTCTGGGAAGTAACCTTAGACGTGGCATTGATGTTTCCGAGAAGATCCCAGTTCTCGTATAGTTAAGGCAGTTGGTGTTTCAGTTAACAGTAGCCATTTTATACAATTTGGAAGGGATCATCTCTACAACCAAGTCTTTATGATCTTTCCGAAGTCTTTCTTTGATAATCCGAGACGGAGGTGTCAAGTCCAAGGACCCTAGGATCGTGTTACGGGAACTTAAGATGAGGGCACATGGTTAATATGATCAGGATCAGGCTATCCTCACCCGTGGGTGAGATGAACTTTGCCTCGGTTCACCTCGCGCATGTGCGAGGTTACATTACTCGCTTCTTCCTTTAAGAAATTTTTTCTCTAAGGTCGAAATTCTCTCTCAAAGATCTCTCTCTCAAAATGTCTTCAAGGAAGATATCCTCCAAAAACAAAACTTCTTCTCGATCATCTTCGGATGTTCCTAGTTCAGATGACGGGATTGCCATCAAGGAGGAATTTGAAGTCGAGCAAGAAGAGAAGGATGCATATTGGGATGCTCTATGTGGTTTGATCACCCCTTCGCCTGAGGTTTTCTTTCCGAAGAGACCTGCCACGGTGATTGACCTAACCGTCCCGAGCAGGACCTCCTCTTCCTACCTTAGGACTCTCCGAGAGTTCGACAAGGTACCGAGCGTGGTAGTGTTCCAAATTCCGACAAGCAGGGAGACCGCAGAGAATCCCCCGGAAGGCTTCTTTACTTGCTACGAAGCCTTCATGATGTATTGCCGCATGTGGTTTCCGATCTCTGAGGCCATCATTCGCGGTCTTAACCGTTCCGGATTGTCGATCAGCCAGCTGAACTTTGTGGTATTGCAGCATTGGCTTGGCGTGTTAATCTTAAGCTATGAGCTCGGGATGGACCTTAGCCCTGATTACTTTGAAGGGCTATGGGCGACGCGCAAGACGGGGAATGAATACTCATTCCGTATGCACCCCAAGGAACATGTCAATCATCCAAGGCCATACTTCCAACGCTAAGGGGTGGTTCGATTGTTTCTTCTTTTGTTCAAGTGGACGGTGAGTCCATAGAGGAGAACTGCCTCCACTTGTTCCGTAGCAAATGGAACTTGAACCATGGTAATACGATCGAACGCTTTGTTTTGCCTTCATTTCAGAGATATCTGATTGCTTTTGGTATATATTTTTTTTTTTGCAGTGAACAGGGTTCTTCCGGATACTCCCAGTGATCTCTACACTAAGCGGGACTTGCTCCACAGCAGTTCGTTCTTCTGGAAATCCTTTACCCTTGCTAGGATCCGGGATGCAGTGGAGCTCCACCGATCGCACGGCATCCTCCGAACCTTGCCTGTGTCGGACGAAGATGAGCCGCACCCCGTAGCCGTACCTGCTCGAAGGGAGAGGGTTAGGCCTCGGAAGGAAAAGGGGATTTCTTTCAGGAGTGTCTCAGAAGATCCTCCAATCCCTTGATGGGAAACAGGTAACGGGAGCGGAGCAAGTGAAGTTCCCCTTCCGAGTGACTTCTTTGACAACCTTCCTCCTGGTTTTACCACTTAAGCTTCTCTGACCGAGGCAACGAGGAGGGAGGTTGTCGCGGAAGGCTCTCGGTTGATCAACGAGGTTCGGTCTCTGAATCCTTTCGAGAAATCTTTAGATTGTTTTTCCATTTTTGACACTCGATTTGTACAGGAGATGCGAGTTATTCACTCGGCATTAGATGGAGGTTTCAGAGAAGTGCGCCTTTCACATTTCAAGGCCGAGGAGATGGAGAGGAAGTTCATTGAGTTCCTGAACAGGTGGCGGAGCGAGACCATGCACAGGCTGAATCCCATTCTCGTGCTCTCGTCTTTGAGGAGAGGAGAGGGAGAAGGAAGGTTTCCACCGAACTCGCAAGAAGAGCCGCCCTGTTAAACACCGACTTCCAAGGTCGTAAGGAAGCTCAGGACGACGTGGGCGACTTCCGCGAGTGCCGCGGTTCAGTCGCTTCCCTCTAGAAGTCGCAGAACGCCGACTTCTCCGTTCTTCCCGAGATTGCCATCATGTCAGGCCTTATGGATGGGTGTTTTCATGCTGAGTCATGGGTTCCTCCGATCGAGGGGAGGATCCGACAGCTTTGGGAACCCAATTAGGTTTCTAAGGATACAGTGGAAGCCGGAGCTGGTGACGGGGATGCGGAGGGCGTCGCGGCTGAGGAATGAGAGGTGGATCAGCCAGTTAGCTCCTTTGGAGTCTCCATGTCTGGTTTCCTTGACCTCTGATCCCCGGGGTGGTTAGGGATTGTTTCCATTAGTTTTTATCTTAAGTTTTTGATATCTGTTAGCCGAGTGTAGCCGTATTTGATCTTATGTGTGTGAGGCTATGTGAACTATGTATTTGGGACCGGCCGTTGGTGGCTTTGAGTCTTAGCCGTTTTTTGCGGCTTTATCTATATGACGAATAATCCAAATTTTGTGCGTGTTAGTTTATACTTCTTCCAAATGCGAGGGAAAGATATGAGTAATCACTTCGTACCTTAACTCTTAGTTTATCGTCTTATTCTTTTGCTCTTACTGAACGAGGATGTTCGGAAATGTTTAGGAGTTTCGCGAAGTTTTGTGAGTGTATTAGATATAGACGATGGGACATGTTCTTAAGATCTCGTATCATGTCTTGAGATTTTTATGGACCAGTAGGACTGGGTTTAGGGCAAAACCTAAGTTTACTTTTGGCTCTAAGGCTGTGCGATGACTGATCGGTTCTCGTTTTGTCTGTGGGCGATTTCCACTTGGTTCTTTCCGATTTAAAGTCTGTGACTTGGCGCCGGCTTATATGACTTGTATGGAAGAATCGAGCACTCTCCAAAGACCGTCTGGAGTGCAAAACAAAATTTTGGATTTCTTGTATAGCGCGCTATGGTATCCTTGTCGGATGTAAGAGAACCTTTTCTTTTACGAAAGGTTTGACTACGAGTTCTTTTTTTAGAGAACATTTTTGGGTTTGTCCGTCGAGGCCAGTGGACGGGCAATTTGTTTTTTTTTAGAGTCGCTGATGGTCTGTGTGTTAGGATAATGTCTTTTGAAAATGTTTGCGACGTCTCGCTTTTTCAGAAAGGTATATCCTTTGTAGTGAGAAAGTTACGATCTTCGTTTTTTTAAAAGAAGATGTATTTGGTCTTGCTTGACCGTTGGTAAGAAAGCATTGTTGTTAGTTCCCATCCAAGGACTGCTTGGAGGGT